ATCTGTCAGGTGGGTTCCAGAACATTCTGGTCACAAACACCCTGCCCCGAGAGGGCGAGGGTTAGAAACCACGGAGGCCAGAATCGCAGACCCTCGCGCCCCCCGCTGCCTCGAGCTCGGCCCCCTCCCACGTCCCCCGCTGAACAGCCGGTGTCGGCAGTCCACACGCAGTCGGGCCAAGGACAGTGCAGACGGCCGGCAGCGGGCTCTGACCCACCGGCGCGCAGCCGCCTCTCCCACCGCAGGAGGATGCCCCGGGCCTGGACCAGCGTCGCCCCTGTGCCTGCTCAAGACGCCACGCCATGTGCAGACACGCCACGCCACATGCAGACACGCCACGCCACGTGCAGACACGCCGCGCCACGTGCAGACACGCCACGCCACGCCACGTGCAGACACGCCACGCCCAGGGCGGCAGCGATCCTCTCCCCCGGGGCCGCCGCGGTTACGCCCGGGCCAGGTAACAGCTTGGGTACCAAGTCACCTCTCAGAGTCAGCCGGGAGCCAGGCGACACCCTGTGCCACCCTGTGGCATCTGCATCCCCCTGTATCTGCCCCGGAACCGGGCAGCGTCGTGGGTGCCACGTCACATCCCAGGTGTCAGCCCAGGCCCAGGGCACGCGCCGGGCACGGGGCGACGTCCCTGACGTCCCGTGTGGCCCGGCGACCCCAGCTGCCCCCCGGGGGCCCGGGCCCCGGTGCCCGGCGGCCTTACCTGCCGGTGACCTCGATGTTGGAGATGGCGTAGAAGTACTTGTAGAGGTTCTCGCGCTGCACGTAGGTGCCGCCCAGCGCGGGGCGCAGCAGCCGCAGCCGCAGGTCGGTGAGGGTGAAGAACTCCTTGAGGCCCTTGGCGCTCTCCAGCCGCGCGTACAGGCTGCCCATGTTGCGCAGGTCGGGGCCGGCGAGGACGGCGAGGCGGTCGCGCACCTCGAAGCGCACGTGCTTCTCCTGCTTGGAGCCCGCCCAGCGCGAGTACTCCTCGGTGCACAGCACGCGCTGGGCACCGGAGGGCGCCAGGTCGCGGGCGCGGCGCGCCGGCATGCCGAAGGCCTCCGCGCAGTCCTCGGCGTAGAACTGGTAGGGCTGCCACGAGCGCCCGTTGTCCAGGGACTTCTCCAGGACCATGGCGGTGGGCCGGCCGTACTCGAAGGTCACCACCACGTCGTCCGTCAGCTCCACGCTCTTGTTCCAGGACAGGGTGATGTTGGCCTCCAGGGGGCTGGGGTAGCGGCTCCACGTGACGCTCTGCCAGTAGGTGACCAGCCCCTCGTCCTCCTTGTCGAACATGAGTCCGGGCGGGTGGGCCAGGTCGGGGTTGGAGGCGTCACACTCGTTGCTGCACAGGTAGGGATTCTCCTGCAGGGGCGAGAGGCCAGGTGGGCGCTGGCCGCCGCGAG